ACCTGAACCCTACAACCCTAAACCCGCCAGCGAAAAGGGTAGCGTTTGTGGGGAGTTGGATATGGTAAAAGGTGGCGGTTTAGACTTCGCGGTGTGCTTGGAGATTAAGGGTAGTTATAGCAAGTCGGGCTGTAAGTAGGGTAAATCTCATAACACAGGGCCTTGATACTTCGATTCGAGCTTTGCTTAAGGTATAGTCTCGTTTAGTTATATCACGGAGCCACAAGACATATCATTACTAGATATTCCGTCCCCGCAACCCTGTCCTTGAGGCAAACCCCTAGCCGAACCCTCTCTCCACCTTTAACCTGCAAAGACGACGGTTTAAGGGCAGGGTTCTACAAAGGTTCTATGATCGAATTTTTGGGATATTGGAATTTGGGGTTCAAGGAATTGTTTTAGCGGTTTAGGTTTTATGGTCTAAACTGGTTGGGAAAGTTGTTGATTTTTCCCCAATATGTTTTATTTTCAACATGGCCGGCCCCGGGTCCAGCTTCTTACAAAGTGGCACTTGAAAAAGGAGGTCGCATTAATTTCAGTCCAAGAAAAGCAACAAAAATCTGTACTCACCAACGTTGCTAAGGAGCCTGTGATACACCCACCCAAACCCTCTTGCAACGGTTGCTTCATCTATTCCGAGACGAAAGTGTAAAGCCTTGCTAATCCGCAGGTTTACCATTGAAGCACCTTGACACCCAGTGCCCTATGAAACAGGAGAACAGGAAGCCCTCTGGAGCACAAGCAATTCCGCACTTCGCTTCTTCAACCGATGAGCGTCTCCTGCTTTCGCCAGAGTCTCAGCTAATCGGACGTTGCCGAATGCTGTGTTAACCCTTCTTAAGGACCTGCAGACTCAGCAGTAGATACCATATCTCTATAGGAGGCTCGGAAGGGTTATATGGGGGGGGGGGGGGGGGGNNGGGGGGGGGGTAGTTAGGGTCTGCTTAAAGGATCGTGTGCCTTAGTAAGTACTTGCGTACATCAGGTAGTGATGGTTAGAACCTCTTGAGACTCGTGCAGATTGAGGTGTTCACAAGGTTGTAATGACCGGCTATAAGCCCAATGCACTTTCATCAGCATCTCAACAGCTCGGCTGCGAGCCCAAGCCAGTGCTTGCATTAGTCAATGGGGTTCAAGAGAGACTGTACCTATGAGAGTCCGAACTTTGATGCCCGGAGGATGCTTGCACCGTTGAGGGTTTTCGTGTGTATTTGGGGTGTAGTGATGTGAACTGCGGCAGTTTAACGATTAAGGCACTAGACTTGACAACCCTTGTGGAACATGCATAATGGTATCTGAAATCAAAACCCTGTTGCAGTACTCTGTAATACTGTACAGACCCTTTCTCGTCTTGGCCATTTATTTGGTATAGAACATAATAAACACCCTCGTGCTAAGGACTTGGGCAGCGAGGCTGTCGCGTTGCAGGTTTACGGCGCGCAGAAGCTTAGGGCTCAGGTTGTAGGGCTTACGTAGAACTAATGAAGGAACCAGGGGAATCCAGGTAGAAGCTACGAAAAAGGCACCAACGGCCTGTTTCGCAGAGACCTGTAAGAAACCCCGGCTGAAAAAGAATCCCTAAACTCTCAATTTATAAACGCTTAAGCCAAACTATCAACCCCTGTCCTATAACACATCTAGAGAAACCTTATATGAAACCAATCTGGAAACCTTAGAATCCTTAGACTCGCTCTAAACCTGAAAAGCCCCCTTACATCTAAAGGAACCTTATATGAAACCCTTCTGAGAACCCTATAAAACATGTGCATCCTTTACTTACTTCCCCAATAAGCCAGGGGAATAAAAGGTTAAACTTTCAGAGTACTACTAGATTATAAGAACCCAAAAAGTTTAAAGGTTGGGAACTGGGGAACTAAGTTTACAACAATCCCATCTCAGAGCTCCCCTTCACCAGCGGCGAGGGGAAGGCCGTAGAGCCGCGCGGCCGTGTCGTGGACCAAGTTGGTGCGATCCTCCGGACTTTGCAGGGTTCGGGTTTCGGGTTTACCTTAACCCACCAGAACCTACTTTTTTCTAGGGTCCCTATAAATCCCATATTAGGGTTTATAATAAGGACCTACAAAAAAGTGGGTTTTGGTAGGTTAAGGTAGGGTTTATCCCCTAAACCCTAAACCCTACACCCTATAGGGTTTAGGGCGGCTTAGGGTTTAGAGTTTCGGGTTTGGGACTGAGGTGTTCGGGCTGAAAATCTTTGAGGGATTACAGGGCTTCAGTGCAGGGTCGAAGAAGGGCTTCTGCAAGCGTTCCCATGGGGTTTTGTGGGATTTTTGAGCCTTCTAAGCATTTCTGTGGCGTTCTATAGGAGGCCTTACGGCTTTGGGACTTAACGGGTTTAGGACTTAGGGTTTAGGGTTTAGGGTTTAGGGTTTAGGGTCTAAGACTTAGGGGTTTGGGATTCAACCTTCAGGGCCGTTCGTCGGTGAACTCCACTGGTGCTTTTCTGGATCCTAGCTCCAAAGATGTTGACCGGGCTCCACAGGTAATGTGGGTCTTCATAATCAGAAAAAGGTGTGGGGCTACAGTATTGTAATGCAGTTTTTGTTACTGGAACGGAATTTTCGGGAAAACAAATATGAATATAAACAGGAATTCTCGCGAATAATGATCCATATTACTCCGTCTTCTTTCTCAAAGCGGCCTCGCAATCCCCTGCCGCTCTCCTCCTCGGACATCTCAGCCCAGGTTGGCCAGGACTCCGGCGCCATCACAGCCTCGGCGTAGCTGGAGTGCTCTGTGGCGTACCTGCCCGAAACACGCTGCTAAGTTGTGGGCTCAAGGCTTCCGTCGAGTTCTATCAGGGCGTCATCAGGTTTCTTTTAGAGGTTCTTTACGGTGTGGGCCTTAGGGCTGCAGACGTCGCGGAGAGCTTAGGGCTTGGAGAGCTGCGGGCTTTAAGGGCTTAGGGAAGGAGGGTTTAAGGGTTTGGGGCTGTAGGGGGTTTGGGGTAGGACGGCTGGAGTTTTGGGAAGACTTCAAGGATTGGGACGGGTGCCATAAGCTCTAAGAATCTGAGTTTTCCCCTTCTTTCGGCAGACCGCAGCTCAAAGCCCCTGACCCTGGGTCCTGGAGACTTCTCGCATTCCTTTCAACCCTCGATATCCACCAATCCCTAACCCAAAAAATCCTAAGAACAAATGAAACGCTTTCGAACCATCCTTGTGAAGCAGCATAAATGCCCTTGCAAATGCCTCGTAACAGTGTATGAGACTCTTCTCTCACCCCGAACCCCCCCCCCCAACGAAACCTTTTATTCAATTACCATAAGGTCCCCAAACCCTACAAACCCTAAACCCTAAACCCTAAATCCCTAAACCCTAAACCCCTAGAATCCCCAGGACCCCTCGAACCCCTTAAACCATAGCCTCTACAGCCTTACAGAGCCCTGGAAGACCCGCGCAAACCCTGAGAACGACCCCTGAGCCCCAAAAACCCAAGAACCGGTTTAGGGTTTAGGGTTTAGGGTTTAGGGTTTAGGGTTTAGGGTTTAGGGCCTAGGGTTGCTCCAGCCCTAAGCCCTTAGCCCCGAATTCATGCCTAAACCCTGGAAAGCCCCAAGAAACCCAGAACAAAAACACTAGTGTTCACGACCCCTTTGCTTAGTGTACTCAAAAGAGAGAACGATTCCGAAGGAGCACACAGACAAAAGACCCCCTAAATCCTAAACCCTGAAC